CCTCGATAGTTCCTGAGATTAATATCAACTCCAGATTGAACTAAGAGGGAAACAATCTAAGCTATTGTTTGGCCCCCATTAAATTACATTACATTATGAGCATGTTTGGTACCGATTAAAATCCAATTAAAATTGAAAATATAACCGTTATTGGACCCCACTCATCTAATAAAAGTCAATAATAACGACTAATTTTTCAATTTTAATCCGATTTTAATCTCTACCAAACGGGCTCTATATTAAATTTTTCTCCCTCTCTTCATTTCAACCACGCATTCATCAAATAAAATAATATTATATACAAATCAAAAAAAAATTCAACCACGCATTCTCCCATCAATCACTATTCTAAAAATTTTCAACCCCCAAAAATGCAAAATAATGTGGCCAAACAAGGGCTAAATACAAGCCACAAAGTACAAATAATATAATCACCATCCAAGTTCCAACACCATTTCTTCGAGGCTAAACATAATAAAAAAATTTGCACTGAATTATAATATACCTCGTGGTAACCTTGAGCAGCCGAGTAATGCAAGGGAGAATTGCGAACGCCAAAGGTCGAATACCTCACGAGGCGAGGATTATACTCCAATAAAGCTTTGGCTTCTTGAAGATCCCCATCTCTTCGCAAATTGATTATTGGAAAGGGGAAGGGATTAAGGGAATTGGGGGAAAGGGAATTAAGGGAATGAGTTCGCAACAGGGGAAAGGAACGAGTAAGGGCATTTTTTCAAAATGTTAAAAGATTTGGGCTTGGATAATTGGGTGGACTTTGCTCAAAGCAAAAAATTAAGGGCCCAGTGGGGTAGTTGCCCCCACTGGGCCCTTAATGGGTCCCCCCTGATGTAAACTGCAATCTATAAAGAGAAAATTACCTACAAACCTACTTTTAAAGTTCCATTTTCAAAAAACAGGTGGTTTAATTTTTTTTTCATAAATCAGGCGGTAATTCAGTTTTAATAATTACAATTAATAAAAAAAATAATTACAATATATAATTAATGGGTTTTGTTACTTCATTACCGGAACCATTAGCTTAATCATAACCCAAGTCCCCAATCCCCATCCACTCACCTCTCTCTCTCTCCAGAACCATGCCGGAACCCTCGCCCCTCTCTCTCTCTCTCTCTCTCTCTCTCTCTACATTTATACCAACCAGTCGCCTCTCTTCGTCTCTACTTTTCTACAAGCCCGTCGCCGTCTTGAGAATCGCCGGCGAAGCACCCGTCACCTATCCATTGCACAGATCTGTCGCTTCGTTCGCCGTCGTCTACCAGCCCCATCACCCTAGCCGCCGGCGTTGGTACCGTTCGGAGATGGCGGCGCTGTGAAGGTGGCGGTGGTTGGTGCTACCGTTTCTCTCATCTTTAAATAGAATTCTTTAATTGCTTTAACAAATTGGATGTGCTCTCGGTTGCATTTTCCGTTGACAACAGGCAAATTGTTTCTGCGTTGCGTGATAAGTCTATTAAGCTTTGGAATACTTTGGGTGAATGCAAGTACACTATTGAAGACATCGATGCCCACTCTGACTGGGTTTTCTGTGTCCGATTTTCTACCACTACGCTTCAACCGACTATAGTTTCTGGGTCGTGGGATAGTACTGTGAAAATCTGGAATTTGAGTAATTGTAAGCTGATGATGATGAGATTGAAGCATTGGGCCCAGTTGTTGGTTTGTACTTTACGCTGGTAATGAACAAGTCTTCTGAAAGTAATTAGGCTTGCTGCTTCTGGTTGTTGTACCTGTCATATGCTATCGCTTGCTGATTTTGATTGCTGCTTCTACCACTGGAATTGTGGATTTGAAGTTGGTGGTGGCGGTGGTTGTGTGTGATTTGTGCGGTGGTTGTGTGTGATTTGTGTGTTCCGGGTTGTTTTGGCTGAGTGTGGCGATGGTGGTTTTGGGGTGGTGATGTGGTGTTAGGGAGGGTGTGGTGTTTGTTTTGAGATGATGTTGCCGTCCGCGAAGTGGTGGTCACAAATTTTGTGATTCGTGATCGATGACAGATTGTGACCATTTGTGACCGATTGTAACCGTTTGTGACCGATTGTGACTAGTTAATTGTGACTCGTTGTAACCATTTGTGACCGATTGTAACCGTTTGTGACTGGTTAATTGTGACCAATTATGACCGATTGTGACTCGAAATTCTGAAAATTTTTTAGAAGTTGGGAATGGGTGGATGGGGTGGGTAAGTTGAAGTCGCCGGAGTGGCGTCGTAACAATCTAATCCAGATCGCGATTTGACTACCGGGTAGTTCATTGTGACTGTTTGTGACTGATTAATTGTGACTCGTTGAGACCGATTGTGACCGTTTGTGGCCGATTGTGACCAATCCATGGGTTGGGGGGTGTGATTTTCAATTTTCTGAAAATTTTGAAATTACCGGAACGATCGCCGGAGAAGTCGCCGGAGCAATGGCCGGACCGGTGCCGGAGATGGAGGGTGGTGGTGTAGTGAGGAGATGGGGTGGGTGAGGTGTCATGGGGTGGTGTAAATAATTAATATATATTATATTATAATTTAATATTTAATATATTATAATTTAATATTTAATTAATTTATTTATGACCTGATTTTTGAAATAATTAAACAAATTTGTTAATTTTGAAATGTGAACTTTAAAACTAGTAGATATGTATTGTTCCCATCTATAAAATACATAGGAGATGCTCTCACTTCCTTATTCCATAATTAGAAATCTTCCATTGAAATATTATTTTCCTCTTCACTACTTATATACAAAAAATCAACTTTTGAGTTATAATATTGCAATATTAAATAATCGCATGCCTTAGGAATTATGATGTGACTAAGGAGGAATCTTAAGTTGCAGTCACTCACTTAAAATTGCTTAATCTATTATTGCTAATACTTTTTTGGCACGAAAAGTACATTAGAGGATGACTTTCTATACTCGTGAAAATGATTGAAATAGTTGATTAAAGAAATTGTAGATTAACAAATGTCTTTTTAAATTCAATTATTGGGGATAAAGAATGACATCATGTTTCGGATGTTGAAAGTATTTAATGATCGTTATTATGCTAAAAGTCAAATGTAATTTTTTTAATTTTTATTTTTCATTTGCTTAACCCTGCAAGTGACACTAACACTTCTTTTTAAACTTCATAGATAGATAAAAATTCTTGATTTAAAAATCGTCCCATAAAAAAATGTATGACCTAACAAGCCTACAACATAATCAATTCAAAGAAACACGACTTTTGTAGAACGTGCCTAAGTCAAAAGTCGATTATCTTGTCTACATAGAAGGATAAAACCATCAAAAATCATGACATAGAGACCTAATTCTCGTCGGGGTGCCCACTACTAGGGCATTTTCTATCTGTATTTCATGAATGGTGCACTTTAAACGCAGAAATCCTATTTAACATCAAATAATACAGTAGTTAGGTTGTCTATGTTGTAACAGAAGGCATATAAAGTCATGAACAAAGCCACATGAAATAGTCAATTATTCATCCAATCTATCGACATAAATGTACTTGTTGACTAATGTAATAACAAAATGAATCTCTCTAATTGGCGTGGGAATAGGGGTAGGCGTAGGAGTGGGGGATTTGTGTCTCATGAATTAATGGTGATAATTGCATGCTGTTCTATTATGGTCCATGTTGAACGATTGATAATCTAAATCGTTCCCATTCGAAAGCTCCATTTGTTTAGAGACAAGGCCTTTTTTTAAGTACATTGGTCTAGACA